AAGGAAGAGGCAATATCTTGAAGTCTTTGTTCCTTGAAAAAAGGAAGAGGCAAATCGCGAGATGCTTATTCCTCACCTCTCACTATTGTAGAGCCTAACTGTAATACCTCGTTATTTCGAGGCAGTTTATAAGACTCCGATAGTTTGAGTTGAGCCTAGCTATAAGATCTCGTCCATCCGAGGCCCGCTTATAAGACTCTTGAAAGCCTCATTCCTTAAATAAAGGAAGAGGCAATATCTTGAAGTCTTTGTTCCTTGAAAAAAGGAAAAGGCAACTCGCCAGATGTTTATTCCTCGCCTCTCACTATCGTTGAGCCTAACTGTAAAATCTCGTCATTTCGAGGCAGACACACATGTCTTCTTTCGACGAGGCTGGACGTCTAAGAAGATGCCTTCACATGGATTAACCATCCACCATGTGAGGAAACATGCACCAGCACATGCCTTCCTTTGACAGTCAAACGTCAAGTCAGAAGCCTTTGCATGGATGAACCATCCACCGTGCATGGAAGCGTTGGCGCCTCGGAAGAGAGGTCGACATTCCCAAACATGGATCACCTCACTTGGATTCCAAAGTGGACATACATGCCTTCTTTCGACGAGGCCCAACGTCGAGGAAGAAGCCTTCACATGGATGAACCATCCATTATATGAGGAAGCATGCACAGTACATGCCTTCCTTCGATGAGGTCCAACATCGAGGAGGAAGCCTTCACATGGATGAACCATCCACCATGTGAGGAAGCGTGCACCAGCACATGCCTTCCTTCGACGAGGCCCAACGTCAAGGAAGAATCCTTCACATGGATGAACCATCCACCATGTGAGGAAGCGTGCACCAGCACATGCCTTCCTTCGACGAGGTCCAACATCAAGGAAGAAGCCTTCACATGGATGAACCATCCACTACGTGAGGAAGCGTGCCCCAGCACATGCCTTCCTTCGACGAGGCCCAACATCAAGGAAGAATCCTTCACATGGATGAACCATCCACCATGTGAGGAAGCATGCACCAGCACATGCCTTTCTTTGACGAGGCTGAACGTCAAGGAAGAAGCCTTTCATGGTTGTATCAAACACCATGGAGGAAGTTCTTGACATGGATGTGCCACCGCCATGTAAAGATGTCAGCTTATTACAGCTACTTACAGATTCAGAGCATTGCCTCTACTATTACATTATCCCTTGCAGGGATGAACCATCCACCCTACAGGTAGCCCTTGACATGGGTGAACCATACACCATGCAAGGATATCATTTACCGCTTCGTAAGGAGAGGGGTGGGCCCACCTTATTACCTACGAAGACGAAGCCTTCCTTGACTGGATCAAACACCATGGAGGAAGCTCTTGCATAGATGAGTAAACCCCTTGCGAGGAGGTAAAAGTTATAAATGACAAATAAAACAAGCTAAAGAGCTTCAAAAAATGGGGGCCTCGGCTCCCTTTATCAAGAGTTCAACAAATATTTGAGGTTCGTAAGCTTCGGACCATAGGGGCCTCAACTATCTCCGTAAAACTTCAGCTGAAGATTTGAAGTAGAGAGCTTCGGTTCATAAGGACTTCAAATCTGTCAAAATTTCTGCAAATTGTAAGGCAAAGGACTTACCTATAGGAAGAGACACTATCTTGAAGGTCACTCTCCTACGCAAACTGTTTATCTCAATTTTACTTTCAAGTCCATGCATAGACTTGGTGGACTATTGTTATCCCATGAAAATGAGCCTAGCCGAGGTACCTAAAGAGGTCTAA